TTTATGTGTTTTAAGTTTTATTTTATGATCTTTATTTACTTTAGTAAGAAGAGAAACGTTGGCCTATTAAGGAGAATCTGGGAACATAGGAAGCTCAAAAGTCGAGAATGATGGGAGATGATTAATATAGCTCATTTGCGGTACGCGCCCCTCGGCCACCGAGAGCGTCTACAAGCTACGAGCTGGGCGGTAACGGGCTACGGCGCTCGCTACGAGGCGCTGCTACGTGCCCGTCTCTGCGTACATCGTTTACGCTTCCGCACAGAAAATTTATTAGATTCCACCCCATTTTCTACCTTTTATCTCTAATTATGTATTTAATACAATAATATAGCATTGCCGACACATCGTAACGTTAACTAATCGTAAGCGGAAGATTGCATTAATAACTATTAACATTATGTTATATACAGCGAAATAGCAAGTCACATACTTTACCTAGAAATACCTTACGCGAAGTTTATACAATGTTTAAAATATTTATTGTGCAAGAAAGATGACACATGTGGACAGGTAAATTAGCTTGGAGAAATTTTTGCGTTTGTAGTAGTGTATGGTAGCGGACAGCGTAAACTGGTTTATTCTGGTTTTGTGCGTGTTTCCACTTTCCACTATCAAGTGACGATTTTTTGCTTTAGATTGAAATATACTCGGAAACGGTGCGTCCTAGGCCAAAAATAACAAAAATTTTGACCCCCCCGTTAGACCCCCCGAAGTTTTAAAAACCCTAGATGAAAGGAAAAAATAAAAGACGTGTAGCACTCGGGGACTGCCGCGGTAAAGCTATTAAACACCGTGTCGAAGACTGCCGAAAAGAAACGACGTTAGACAATGCACGGCCGTGAGCGTGAGGTTTTTTTTCGTTACGGAATTTCTGTATTCGGTCCCCGCGCTCAAGGCCCTCGATAGAAGCTATGCAATAGCCTAAAAAAAAATATATTTAAATATCGGTCTCTCCTCTTTGAAGTTTCACTTCTATCGTGTGTGAATCGCACACACACTTTTTTTTTTATAAAGTCAAAACCTTTTTCTTTAAAATAAAAACTTGTTATTATTGAAAACAAAAATCAGAGTGTTACTAGGGATAAGTATAAAATTAAATAGTAATGTTAGGATATCGAAACATTTTTTTATAGGCCAGAACGATATAGTGGAAACGCGCTCTAAGATCTGGGTAATATACACACCACTACATATGCAAAAATTTCTCGAGACTAATTTCACTGTAAGATTTTTCAAAAATGGAAAAGGTAAAAAGCAACTTATAGTCGTTTACAATATTCATGTTCAAACTGATACAAAAAAACAGTGCTACTCCGGGAGTGCCGACAGAAGATAAAACTATTTTTTTTTTTATAACAGGTTTTTTTGTTTTTTTTTTTTCGATTTTAAAAGTTCTGACATGAATATATATGTTTTTATTATATCATATCACATCATCAGCCTTTAATAGTCTACTGCTGGACATAGGCCTCTCCTTGGAGAGGAGGTTTTGGCCTATTACACCACGCTGGCCAGACGGGTTGGTATAGGGTTTGTGTCAAGTTTTCCTTCTTTTTGCAGTGCTGGTGACCTGCGTTGTTTTGCGCCCTTAGTCGGCTCTTACGACACCCACGGGATGAATTGGGGTAGTGATATTCCGTATTCTTAATCCGTCACTACACGGACAATTATTATTATATTATATATAGTCATATTATCAATGTATTTCAACCCAAACTCGACTCTTGTGTAAACGGGGCCAATATATGTAGATACTTATATACAGAGATGTCGGTAACGGCAACAGTGTCGCGAGTTCAATGGGTTTTTTTCCCATCTCAAAAAATACATTCTTTTGTTTGTTGCTCAAAAATACCAAACGCGCCTAAAAAAGTTTTCACTTCAAAAATTATAATGCGTAAATCTGCAATTTAAAAAAATTACATTGGTGCTTATGAGATTAAAAAAAATAACTGTTATATAATCGTGTTTTACCGGTGATCTACCTCGAAAAATAAAGTAAAAAGGCAAACCAACCAGGAGGTATTATTCCTGTAATTGGTTTCTAATGCCGCGTAAACCCTCCAAACGTGTTGGGAGAGTGGACCGTGAGATAAAGTGTACGGACGTTCTCACACAGATTTTATTTTTACAAAATATCTTAGATACTAGCTTTCTAAAAGGTCTCTTATATAGAAGCCATATGAATCATTGTCCAAAGTTACGGCTATTTTGAACATTATTCATCTACAATAGAACTTTCTTGTTGATGTCCAAATGTAAACTATAAACAGCAGAATTGTTGTTGATGTCGTTGTTGTAGATGTTTAATCTTAGCAAAAGATTGATTGTAAAGAAGATATAGTGACTTTAAAATACTTAGAACAACTTTTCTATGAATGTTCAATGAGTTAGGAAACAATAAATCTTTTTATAGATACAGAAAACGCTTATGATAACATAAGATGACCATTCTAATCCGGTTATTGAAAGCAATGTAAAGTTTATTACAATAAATCAGAAATATTAAATTTACATGTATTTTTAATATATAACCAAACAAACATGGAGATTTGTACTAAACCTACGTATCCGATATTCGCGAAACTGGCCAACGTCAGCCGTCGCGGGTCATAAATTTCCCCGGATCCCAGCACGACAAGGCAATGCACACTAAAAATTCTACCATGCTCTCTCCATGTGAGAGATATATTTTCAAGTACATACAAGACGAGTCTGTGCAATTGCCTTTTGAACATTCTACAATTTCGTATAAAATTTAGTAAAATGCTAAAAGTTTACATATAGATGATGACAAGGATATTAACAGTCTACATTTTACGCCTTAATAATTACCTAATCTCAAAAAACAAAAAGTTTTTCAACATATAGTTGAGGAGAAAAAATTTAATTAGTTAAATTTACAAGTTAAAAACACTTATTTTAATATTTTATGTATTGAGGAATTCGAAAGAAAGGATTTTAAATAAGCCTATATATTGAAGTTATTCAAAGGTAAGACCTCATGTATGTAACTAGCCCTTAGCTGCGGCTCCGCCTGCGTGTATGCCGGTTATCGTTATAGGTTTACATGTAGTTTCTACAGAGCAACTCGTTCATTGTAAACGGGCCTGCCTATCACAACGAAAATCTTTTACTGCTATACTATCGCAAGGATCAGAGAGAACTCTGTATTTTTTTGAATTTCTGGTGGTCAAAAGTAAAAACGAAATTTAGACATAGGTATAACTAACATTTTATGAGCGCTGGATTTAATTGCAGTAGTGAATAGGTTATGTTCATTCCTATGCAGTAAAATTCCTTTTACAACATGCATAATAAAACCCGTTTGAGAAAAAAAATTGGCATACTATCCGATGAAGTATTTTAAAAATAAAATGGTTCAGTGTCAACAATACGAGTAGAGATTTTTTCCCTGTTGCTCGCAGGACTGTTCAGTGAACGTTATAGCTTAAGCTATTTTTCAAAATGTTGAATCATTTTAGTGATAATATAAAAGATCCTATAATATAAAAGACTTAATGTAATAATAATAACTACACACATCACATACACATAGACCACTTCTATATAGACTTAACCTGTAAGTATAGCGTCGCGGGATGTAGTTTTGTGCCAACCAGGTTGTACAAAATAAATCTTACAAAACAGTTTTATCAAAAAGCAGATGTATTTATTAACTATTTGTACTTTTATTTTACTTGCGATAGGATCGTTTCTTGTCATACTTAAGTATTTTGAAATTATTTTTAATGCGATAAGTATTAAGTATTTTTCTTGGTAGCAAAGTCTGTTGTTTCATACAATACTCATTTTTTTAGGGCTCCGTACCTCAAAAGGTAAAAAAGGAACTCTTATAAGATCACTTTTTGTCCGTCTGCCCGTGTGTCACCACCGATTTTCTCAGGAACGGGTAGGCTTAGCTAGTTGAAATTTATACCAGATACTGAGGTCTATGGTCCCTATTAGGTGTAAAAAATCAAGGTCTTGAGTCAACACGATAAAAAGATATGGGCAAATTTCGAATTTCACGAAAACTTAAAAAAATTACCCAAATTATTAGCACAATTAAAGAGAAAATTCTGAAAAATAAAAATTCTAAGTCAATCGGAAGTACCCTATAGGTTTTGGGTCGAAAACCTATATGGTTACACCTAGAATCACGACATTTAGCAAAAAGAAACGTCTTACAGCACAAATAAAGAAATAATTCCAAAAAATTGAAAATTTTCACGAAAATCTACGTAAAATCTGGGTAGGTACGGCACCCTCGGCGTATTATTTTAGTATTTTGTATTAGTATTGTATTAGTATTTTGCCTTAATATTACATAAATTCACATTCTACTCTCTTTATCGGTTATTTGCTGTTTTAGAGAAACTATTTGCAAATTAAAAAACGTAGTTATACTTTCATCGTAATTGCTGAATGCTGTAGAATTTAGGAACAAAAATTATTTGTTAAATTAAATACATTAATTGATAGATTAGTGTATAAAGAGTTAATAAACGAGTGGTACATTGAAACTGAAGCAAATGACATGCACTCTCTTGTGCAAATAAAACGATAGTAAATCAACATTTAAACAACTTAATGTCCAATCTTATCACGTTCTATGCAATAAATCTCTGAGCTAACCAGGTTTTTTTGTTTGTGAACTTTATGTACCTATGGTTAGCTTCTTTATTACAAAACATTAGAAATAGTCAAAGCAATAATAATAGTAGTAGTTTTTTTTTAATAATTATTCGTTCTTATTCGACTGTATTAAAATACAGGTGTAGTTTCCTGCAACAAGACACAATTAAAACGATGGAGAAAGTCAATTTTAAGTCAAGTTTTAAAGAACAAATTTTCTTACAGGATACCGTACGCTGACAAGATAACCCCTGAGCCAATCTTGCACAACAATAGCGGTAGAGAGACAAAAGCAGACTCGATCAGGAACAGCTATAATAGCCAATTCAAAGTGGGAATCTATGGCTGGAGAAAAAAATGTCTCTATATTCTTGTCATGGCACTTATGATTATGATGATCATCAATCTGGCATTGACTCTTTGGGTTCTCAAAGTTCTGGATTTTAATTCGGTAAGAAATAAGTTAGAGTAAGTTGCGAATTGTAATACCAGATTCAAGTTTAATTTTAACGGCACTCCTGTTGCAAAGTACTGTAAATAGGTAAGCATAAATTAAATACACAGATCCCATGTAACTCCAAATAACTTCCCACCCCCTTTAATTAACCACCGTGATCTGGTACACATACGTTCAATTTTTTAATCTATCTTAAGTAGACAAATTAAAGAATAACCACCGATATTTCACAGAATGTATTCTATGTATAAATGTATGTATGAATGTAGTATGTTTGTATGAATGTATGTATGTATTAATTCCATCTTTCTTTACATTTTTTACCAGTCATCGATTTTACATTATCACTTGTTGTAAACTTATACGCTTTAATAAATTTTACTTGGATTTACATTAATATTCAATATTTTTTTAGGAAGGAATGGGCCAACTGCGCATAGTGCCAGGAGGCCTACAGCTTTTGGGACAAGCCTTGATGTTGGATTCTTTATTTGCATCCACCATTAAATCACGCCGAGGATTTCCAATTTACCTGGAAGCATCGCGGAATTTCACTGTTTCTACTAGAGATTCGCATGGAATGCTGCAGAGTAGATTATACCTAGGTTTGTCCTTCATTCACTCGATGTATGTAGTTCTTTAGAAGAGTTTATGGATATAGTTTTATATTTATCATGAACTATTAAGTTACGTACGTATTATTACAGGTCACGATCGTTTGGAGGTAAATATTGCACGGTTAGAAGTTCGAGACGCCAAGGGGGCATTGCTTTTAAGCGCGGGGCAGAATTCAGTCACAGTTGGAGCCGACACGCTCACAATATCTAGCCCTGCCGGAGTTACTATACAGACCGCAGCGCAAACACCCTTTGTTAAAGCTCCACCTTCCAAACCGCTTGTGTAAGTATGTTTACGTTTTTCATCGTTCGTCACCACCCTGGTTAAAACTCATTAGTCAAACATAAGTAAGTCAAAATCCTTATCAAATTTTGCTGTCCGATCTAAAGCTGGACTTTAATAGACATTTTCGTGAGAAAACCCTTAATTGTGAAACTGTGGTCGACACTAAGCCGGATTTTGACGGAATTTGAAAAGGTTAACTAATAGTTTTGCCTGCAGACACTGTATAGTATCAAAATTGATATGATGAACCATTTATTTTATAATCAACTGGATAATAAAATCAATTTTTAGCCTGCAATTTCATAAACTACTGGTATATGTCTTTTATAGAAAGTAATCAATTTCAGAATAGTTACTTTGCAAACGATTAGAGTACATATTTTTCATTTTGATTTAAGGAATCTATATATTTTTGTAATTTGTTTTTTTCGTATACATCTTTTGCCAATTTCGATTTATTCAATCAAGCTGATATTTCTCGTGAACAGTTTCTAGCTAAAAGGCACTAGGGTATCTTTTATCCGAAAACTGTTCGTAAATAACGTAGGTCCTCGGACAGTGTATACGCAATATTTCATGATTTTGAATTCTGTAATTTAGGTGTGAAAGCATAACAAGTAAACTTACATCAGTAATATTATTTAAGATTCTTTTGTTATATACAGTTTGGAATCACCGACGCGTTCTCTCGAGATGCACGCGGCACAAAACATCGTCCTGGAGTCCCGTGCCGGTGACATCAGCGCCAGCTGCCTCACTACTTTCCGACTCAGATCCGTCGCTGGCTCGGTGAGCACGTAATAATAACTGAACATTTCTGTCTCTAACAAAATGCTTTGTACACTTCTGAACTTGTACTAAAATTGTGAACGGCACTACTGTGCAATCAGCAGCAAAACATGGGTTGGATTTGATTCATATGTATACATACACATATTTATTATAACTCTATCATTATAAATTATTTACTGAGATATGAGACTTATTGGCATGTACTATCAACGTCTTAGAATACTTCCCAATTTTATGTCTTTACACTAATTTAGTTAGTATGATAAAAACATAGAATCCAAAAAATGTTCTTTAAATAGTCCTAAATATGCCCAAATTTTCACAACATATTTTCTTAGAAATTGGAATAAAGTATTTTCACAAAATTAATATTTCTGAATGAGTTTCAATGTTATATAGTAGTATTGTTTTTATTTTTAGTGGACTGTTTATCCATTAAAATCAAAAGACAAATTGGGAAATGTGACGAATGTGTTTAGGTAGCGAAATAAGTTTTATATAGACGTCACACCCGAAAATACGCAGTTTCCGGTATGTTGTCCATTTGATGCCTATAGTCGCCGGACTACTATGCTTGATTATCTTTTAAAATAATTTCATAGAAGCGTGCTTTTACTATCTTATTATTATTATTCACAGATTCGGTTAGACGCGCCAAGTATATATATGCCGAAGCTGAAATCAGCGCTTCCATTGCCTCCTTCAGCACCGCATGCACACGATCCTCACCATCAAAATATTTATCAACTATGCGCGTGCGCAAATGGAAAGCTGTTTCTTGCACCACCGCATGGAGCTTGCGCGGCAAGGGAGGAAAGCCTCATATGCCGATGATAAACTGACTTACTCGCATTCGTTGTTGTTAATTGACATATTGATATTATTATACTATATTCTCAGTTTACTTATTGTATATTAATTACAAAGACTTTTAGTTGAGTGAATAAATTATATTATTTAGTAAATGAGAAAGTCGTTTTCTAAAACATAGCGATAAAATAAGATGACATATTTATATTTATCAATTATGAATTGAAGTTAAAATCACAGGTAAATTCTACTTGTCAAATACAAAATAACTGCCAAAAATGTGTTCATATTTGTAAATATAGAATCATTGTTCAATAAAAATATATTTCTGGGTATAAACTGGTTCTAAAATCTAGTCAAACTGTTATATTAGTCTTTTTATAGTATTGAGGGGTCGCCTGATGGTAAGTGACTACTGCCGCCTATGACACCTCAAAAGTAAAAAAGGCGTCAAAAATGCCTCCCCCTCCCAGATTCAAAGGGAGGGGGAGGGTTTGTCTCCGGTAACCTCACTCACTCGGTAAAAAGCAATAAAGAATTCCTTAATGTCGATTTTCTGTGAGGCCGTGGTTACGCTCCGGTCGAGCCTGGTCGTTTTGTGCCGAAGCATGGCTCTTTTTATCTTTCATGAATCTTTTTTATCTTTCTTTTCTTTCTAAAAAAGATTGTGTAAAATAAACTAGAATTGTCTCAGTAATAAATAAACTGTTTTTCGATTTGAGAATCTGGTTTTATCTATCGGTCTCTTCATTCACAACAGCCTCTAATAGTCCACTGCTGGACATAAACCTCTCCTTAGAAAGGAGGCTTTGTGTTGTTTTCATTACTGTGATTTTAATTTCAATATGATTTATGTGGCCTTGAAATCATTTAAGTTTTGCAGGATAATTTTCATGTGAACAAATGTAGATTTTTTTTTGTCTTCGAAAAAAAACTCTTATTATATGTATCTAAGAAAAGTTGACTTTAGCATACCTATACAATCCATTAAATTTGTATGAATCACACCTGTTGTACAAGCCACTAGCAATCGATTTTCTGAGAACTTAAGTTAAAAGAGGAAGACATATGTAGTGGACGCAAAAATATGTAAGCACATGTCTCACTTCCGTGAACTTTATGTTATAAACAATAAATTTAAATGACTTTATAGAAAAAATAGACTATAATTATCATTATACATGGACAAGTCTAGTTTGTTGATATTAAAATTAGCGTAGCCTTTTCTTTACTAAAGCCTGATTAGATAATAAAGAGAAATAACATATTTGTTCTAATACTTTGTGATTTCTAAAATTATTATATTATTTAGTGGTGTTTTATCGCTATAACACCTTCAAGAATCAATATTTTTTGGAGTAAAAAATGTTTAATTTACCACAAGTTACCCATAACAGAGATTGTCCCAAATTTACACATCTATTATAAAAAAATGTAATTTAAATAACATAAGGCAGTGTGGCGTTGGTGTTAGATTGTTTGATAGCTATGTTACTCGATGTGAATGCAGTTGAATTACCTAATCGTAATACTTGTCGGTATTGACCCAGAGCTCTGTTACAGCGTAGTAGCTTTAACTGCTAGTTATATTGTACAGTGAAAATATGTAGCAAGATATTTGTGTATACCCACTTCTTTCAGTTTTTGTGAGGGAGCCACGAAATTGAAAACGATGGTAAACTGTGTAAGAGACAAAAACCAGAGACTGTAAAAACTTTTTAAATGCATAAAAATGGCAACGACTTCATTATATTTCTCTTTGATGTTTGACGAATTATAAAAAGGTATGAATTTAAACCTAATATAACTATAGTAGTTTAATTATCATTGCTTGTGTGTTTATTGTGAGCTTTTAATAGATATTTATTACGAAAATATATGTCTTGATTTATTAAGATGTTACTTCATAATTTTCAACTAAGTACAACGATTTTTGCAGAACACAATTATTTTAATGTTAAAATCTAGTGCCTTTTGGATCGCATTTAGAATAACGATTGGCTGAACGAAGTTGAGTTTGATTTTGTGTTTAAAAATTTAATGAATTAGTAGACTTTAAAAACAGATGGCAGATCACATCAAAACCTGTTCAAAAACTGTGTATATGTACAAACTAAATTATTTTTTAATAAAAAATAATTTAGTTTGTACATATAAACAGAAATTTGTGGTCAACTATCTTTTGAATTTTTAAACTAAAATGAGATCTGATGATGGTTGAATTTTTTGTTAAAATGAAGTTCCTTATGGTATCGAGACTGAAAAATGTGTAAAAAGACTTTTTTCCGACACTTTAAGTTTAAAGCAGACTGTATAGAAAACGTCTATCAAAAAGTGAAAGGAACTTCGTTCCGATTCGGGGTCCAAAGACCCCTAACGCCGTTATTTATGTGTGTAATTATTGGTTTGTTTAGTAAACTTTATCTTTTCTGCAACAAACAATATTATATATATGACAAAAACCGTTTATGCGTAGTAATATAAGTTACTAAACTTTTATATCGCGGTAAATATTCTTCTGTATTATAGATACAAAAATGTTAAAAAAAAGATTAATACTTTTTGTTGGCCTTAAAATTTACGTATTAAGTGTTCTAAATTATTAAAAGTCTGGTAACACTTTTATAATTTAGAACACTTTATTACGTTTTTTTTTAAATATAAATTCGGCACATCATAACCGATGGAGAGTTAGGGCGTAACGGATTCATGCTTGAAGACTACCCTATTATTCTTAAATTCGTAGTTGCTTAGTTAATGTGCTCCAAGTATCGTGTCATCATCATGAGTCGCCATAGACTAAAAATAGTGGATCTCCATCTAATTGTGACTTTTATGGATAAATTATAATTGCTGATATCTTTCAGAAACAAATGTGTTTTATGCTTATTTTTTGAGACTTATACCGTTATCTCTCTAAAGACGTGCCCTACGTTTTAGGACAATTAACACAAACACTAATTGTCACTCAAAGTCTATTTACATTATGGAACAGGCCTATAATGTTGTATTATTTTTCGGCTGAAAGGGTAAGTTGGGTCTATTCGTTATAGGGAACATTATATTTAAAAAATAGGTATGCAATAATTGTAGTACGTATGTATGTATGGAATTTCTGTAGAAATTTATATATGATGTATAGCTTATCTGTTACGCATAGGAAAATGTATATTAGTTATTGTAACCGTTTGTTGATATTGTTGTAAATAAATGTAATTAATGAATTTACTTAAGTAAATATGCATATTACGTCAATGAGATTTTATTTATTACATTGAACACTACTCTCCTAACGTTACATACATCGGGTGGTATAAAACACAAGCTAATTAACACCAACCATTTGAATATTTGATAAAATCCTTAAAATAATATATTACGTTCTAAGGGGTGAGAACAAACACTTTAATTAATAAAAAGACATTGTTTAATGTTGGTCGAGATTGTCTTAATTTTTTTTTTCAAATTGTGACTGACTACAGCAGGCCGTCTGCAATACATGTTCCCACAAATTTGTAATACTTATTATATTTCCATAACTGTTCGTAATGTACACGGCGTTTTAGGCAGTCTTTTACCTAAAACTAAAAATATTACTGCCGAGGTAGAAGTTACTAGACAGCAGAATTGACTGATTGCTTATTGAGGTAAGTAAGTAAGTATATGTAGTAACTTATTTCTAGACACAAAGATGTTACCTACCTATCAGTACGTTTTTAAAATATTCTATTATATTTTCATGGGTATTTTATTATTTTTACATCCATTCTAAGTGAATAATTGAATGCAAGTGCTACCAATTTATTACATTGCCAAGAGTTTATGTAATAATCTCGAAAAAACAAGATCAATAGTTCTTGTTTTTTTCTGTTTCTTTAAATAATTATAAAATAAATATATAATTATTTATTGAGTAAAGTTATAGGCTGCGACCAGGGCAAGTGAAACTTGAGGAAATAGCTAGTAATAATATAGTAAATCTGAAGATTAGTTTGTAGCCGCTTTTCCTCTCTGGCGGACTACTCACCGGCTGACCCAGTGGAGAGATTCAAGAGATTACCTCAGGGCGCCTTGTATGAGAATAGAAGTGTGTGCGTGTGGGAAACCTATGGGACTCTTTAGAGGAAAACAACTTAGGGGGAAGTCCCGTAGCGCCGGACGGCACCTAGCGCCGGACACTCATACTATTTTGACAAACGTCAACGCGATCTATTTATAAATCGGTGAAAGGGGTGCGGGGGAACGTAGCGAGACAGGATCACGCAACGCGATTTGCCAGTGAGACGCACAGTCGTGGTGGAAGCCGTGAATTGCTGTTTTTGGTGGGAAAGCGTTGCGTCATGTAAATTTCAAGTAAGTATTACTGCTATGGTTTTATCCTTAATTGTTTTTGTTATTTGTTAATAAAGACAGTGTTTCACTATAATTATTATATTGTGAAAGTTTTTATTAAATACCTAAACAGTTTTAGTATGAAATACGTCATTTTGGACGTTTCCTGTCCCCTACTTTCGGACACAAAGGTGTCCCTTACCACCGGACAGTTTATAGGTTAGCTTTTTTATGAAGCATTTGTACTTATTGTAATGATGATTGTTTGTTGTTTTACAGGATAGAAGGAGAGAGATATTTGAAAATGCAAGAGAGAGAAAAAAAAGGAAAATGGGATCAGCAAAGTTTAAAAACTGCGATGAACAAGATTTTGTCCAAAAAAATGAGTTTGAGGGCAGCTTCGTCACGTTACAATGTTCCAAAAAGTACTCTACATGATAAAATAACGACATTGAGCAGTGGAAAAGAAGTCACGTTGCAACCAAAAGTTGGTAGATTCACAAAAACCTTCTCACCCGAGTATGAGCAAGTTTTAGTGGACCACATAAGAGATTTGTCTAATAGATGTCTGCCCCTGATGAAAAACGAGTTTTTGTGTTAGCTTACGACTTGGCTGAAGCTATGAAGATTCCCCATGAGTAAACAAACCAAACGTGGCAATAACGACAACAAAAAGGAGCCGTTAACTGAAG